TATTATGTAAGAGACATGCAGGGACTAACGCTTTCAGAACAATGAAACTAGGATGGAAAGTACAGACTAAAGAGTTAAGAAAGTTGGGACTGGAGAGATGGCTTAGCAGATAAGAGCACTGGCTACTCTTGTAGAGGACCCTGGGTTCAATTCCCAGCACCCACATGGTGGCTTACAACCCTCTGTAACTGCAGTTCCAGGGGATCTGACACCCTCTTCTGACCTCCTTAGGCATTGTATGACATTGGGTGTACCAATCTACATGCAGGCTATACACTCATACACATAAAATAACAAAATCTTTTTAAAAATAAAGTTAGCAAGAATATTCCCTGCTCTTTGAAAAAAAAAAAACCCTCTGATTAACTTTTAAAATATGATGGAAAACTGCATGAAATATTGTTTGTTAAAGAGTATGTTTAACCTAGGAGTCTCATGTTGACCAAGCTGGCCTCAAACTCTGTGTAGTTAAGCATGACCTTGAAGTTAACCTTTTCTGATCCTCCTACCTTTACTTCAAAAGTGCTGAGATTACAGGCATGTACCAGCACACCATGCTAGGGAAGGATTCTACCAATTAAGCCATATCCCCAATCAGCATGCTCTTTAAGCTGGCATGGAAGTCAGACATAGTGGACTAGCAGCCACATGTCAGGGAGGGGAGGTTTAGAGAAAGAGGAAGCCCAAAATGTTGGGGCAGCCCAAAACGTTAGAGAAATATGCTTAGAAAAAGAGGCGAGAAGGACTTAGAAAAATGTACATAAGCTACTGTATTAAGGGCTAGAATTTAACAGGAAAAAGTACATTATCTCTTTAAAGCATTAATTATTCCACGTGTCTCATTAGCATGGCTTAAGGTTAATTTGCCTTTCCAGGGTGTCTTTTGAACCAGGGGATTGACTTGGCTCAACTGGAATGTTATGTCTCCATCTAAGCCAGAGAATCTATTGACCAGAAGGAGTTTTCTCCTTATTGTTGCTGTAGCATTCCACTCTAAAATCAGTAATCAGCTCAGAGTCCCTTGGCCTTTGAGAAGGATGAGGCTGCCAAGAGGCTCAAGGATATTTTGAGGTTGTAGCTAAGAGAGAAACTGGTTAGTTTTCTTTGGGGTCTTTACCGTAAAGTGCACAGCCGATTTCTACCTCCTGTGCTCACACTCAGGAATCTTAATATTTTACAGATAACACCCTGAGTGTACCTCTCCATTGCCTGCGACCTATTCTTGCATTTCCCCCTACTTTCTCTTTACCCACTTTTCTGGCTCCACTTAGCAGCCCCAGCTGCTGTTTCCTCAGGATTGTGGCTCTGACCTTCTAATAAGAAGCCACATATCTGCCTAGTTCTCCAATCCTTAGGCCTCATTGAAGCCATCTAAAACATTGTTAAACACAAAACTCACCTTGACATTACCTTAATTAAAATTGTAAAGGTATTGTGTTGTTATTTGGTAATGGTCCTATACTAGCCCCTGGGAAAGCAGTCCCCAAACTGACCTTCCACAAGTCTTTCCTTCAGGTCATGGAAAGCCCCTACCTTGTTGCTTCAGGGTTTTTACAGAAAGATTCAGTTTGGAACCTGGAGTTTTCTTCTTCCCCAGTTAAACTGGTCTCCTCCTACAGTTTTTAGCTCAAACATCAGTCTCAAAAGTTTTCTTGGCTCTCCATTTAGACTCTCTTAGGTGCTTTATAACATCACAGTTTGTAACATACATTTTACGTGAGTATGTTTACCCCTCTACTCTGTTAGAAACAAAATCTGAAGTCCAAGGAACCCAGCAACACTTCACGAAGAAACTCACACAAAGCAAAAGTAGCTCAGCAAGGCAGATTTTACTTTTGCAGAAGGGTGTCTTGTATGGTCAGTCAGAAGCACACACAAGAACTGGAAACTTGGTGAGTTTTTATCCCTAATGTAGGAGGACTGTGTCTTTTCCCCATTGACTGGGGTCTGACCTCACAGTCTTTCCCAAGTGGGTAGTTTAAAAGAATCTGCATGAAGGGAGAAAAGCTCCACTGCCCCAGTCCATCAGGCTCAGGAATGCATCAGGGGCTTTCCTTAAACAAAAGTCTTACAGTGTATGGTGGGATTAAAAGATTAGAATTCTTTGTCATAAACCAAGTTCCAAGTTTTACAAAGTTTGAAAGAAAAAACTAATATTTCATGTTTCTTACAACTCCAAAATCCAAAACACCAGAGATTGACTACATCTGACCAATTCCTTAATTTAGTGCCAGTATATACATGTAGTTTGTGACCCTAAGTCAGGGCTCAGGATTTGAATAAGTGGCCTACATGTAAGCCAAGCCTTATTGTGAATACTTTACTTAATTATCTGTTTTAAGACTCATAGGAATACTCTGACACTGGACTGCATAATTGAGTCTACCCCAAGTTGGTGATTTGAAGCCCTAGCCACCAATGTGATGGTATTTGGAGTAGGTAACTAGGTTTAGATCAAGTTTTGAGGATGGAGTCACCATAATTGGGTTAGTATCTTCCAATGAGGAAGAAGTTGCTCATTTTCCACCATGTGAGACACAGTGACAAAGTGGAGAAGACCCACCAGAACCCTGCCATGCTGACACTCTGATCCTCAATGTCTGCTTTTCAGACTAAGAAATAAATTTCTGCAGGGCGTAATAGCACAAACCTTTAATCCCAGAAGCAGGTGGATCTTTGTGAAATGGAGGCCAGCCTGGTCTACACAGTGAGTTCTGGGCCAGGTAAGGCTATAGGGAGAACCTGTCTCAAAAGAAAAAAAAATTCCTGCTGTTTTAGTCACCAAAGCTCTGGCGGTTTGTTACATAAGGCAGCCCCAGGTAAGACAACATCCTTTATAAAAGGAGGCATTTCAGGTAGAGCTCAGACATCTTAATTTAACCCACATCTTTTTTTTTTTTTTTTTCGTTGTCAATAGTCTCACTATATTACGAAGGCCCAGTGAATTTCAATGACAACCAAAATTAAGCAGTTGATTAGTAGAAGTAGATGAGAAAGACTAAAATCAAATCCAAGGCCCTATGCATGCTAAGCAGGTACTGTACCACTGAGCCTCATTCCCAACTCCTAGATTATTAGGTCTCCTAAGGCATGTTAATGAGACATTAACACATGTAAACTAACCACATAATTTTTTTTTTAACTCAGAGGCACCCAAGAAGTAAGTTAGTCCTTGATTATGAACCCTGTTAAGCCATTGCATCCATAATAATCTCTCTCTCTCTCTCTTTCTCTCTCTCTCTCCCCTGCCATAACTGGTAGATATGAGAATGATTATTATACAGTCAGTGCTGTTAATGGTTTACTTGCCAAAGAATGGCATGAAACATTTTATCAGATGCTTTTTTAATTAGTACACTATTTAACTGTGATCAGAGTAAGTGAAAATTTTGTATTTTGTAAAATACTTTGGGAACCAGACAATTGCAATTGGCCTATTTCTGTAGTGCTATTAAGCTGATTATAATGCAGGTGCAATGAGTTCTCTCTTAGTTTCCTGTTTTCCTTCCCTCTGCCATGGCCCAGATACCTCTCTCCAGAACTTATGACATTCTGAAAAGCTGTTCCATGGTGGCAATAGTAAAGTTACAAGGAATAAGCAAGATCACTCTCCTGTCTGCAACTTCCTGTCCCATTTCCTTCCAGCTCACTCTGCTGTAGCTCAAGTTGTTAATACTTTCCTTTTACTGGAGATGGGTTATATATTTTAGAACCAACTCTTCCCCTCAGCGCTGGATCCTGAGTTTCAAGAGCCAATTCCTTCTTCCATGTGTGTAAAAGAGGGTCAGCCCTTCTAGGATGAGGCGACCAACAATGTGAAAATACTAGAATTCTTGAGCAGTGGTATAGCACTGTACTAGACTGTACTACATCTGCTCAGTTCTCAATGAGAGAGAGAGAGGGAGAGAGAGAGAGAGAGAGAGAGAGAGAGAGAGATCAAAAATTAAAACCTTTGAACTTCAAAGAATACCATTAGTA